GTGATGCATCCTGGGAATGGTCCCATGTACCCTGGAGAAGAATGTATATTCTGTTATTTGTGGGTAGACTGTTCTGTATATGGGTGTCAGGTCCAGTTGGTTTTTTATATTGCTCAAGCCCTCTGTTTCCTTAATTTTCTTCTGTTTAGTTGCTCTATCTAATTTTGAGAATGGGATATTGAATTCTCCAACTATTATTGTGGGTCTCTCTACTTCTGCATTTCATTCTATGAAGCTTAGCTTCATAGATTTTGTTGATCTGTTATTAAATGCTACTCATTTATAATTGTTACATTTTCATGTGCTATTGAAACTTGTGTTCACAGATACTGTTCTTTTTGTCTCTTCTACATTTTTTTTAAGTCTATTTTGACTGATATTCGTAGAAATACTCCAGTTCTCTTTGGGTTATTTTGTGCACAGAATACCTTTTCCCATCCTTTCACTGTCAAACTATTAGTGTTTTTTGATAAAGTGAGTCTCTTTTAACTAACATATAGTTGGATCATCTCTCTTTCACTATTCTGACAAGCTGTACGATTTGATTGGAGTATGTTTATGTTTTTCTTGAATTTGGGTGAGTTTTCAGTCATTATTTCTTCAAACAATCTCTCTTACCTTTTTCTTTCTCTTCTGTCTGCAACTCCCAAAATGCTTATGTTGGTTCCCTTTATGTTATGTCAGTGCTCCAGTAGGCTCTCTTCCCTTTTCTTCAGTTGTGTTCATTTTGTTCCTCAGACTTGATCATTTCAATGGTCCTCCCTTCAAGTTGAGTGATTCTTTCTTCTACTTGCTGAAATCTGCTCTTGAACACCTCTAGTAAAACTTTCATTTGAGTTATTGTGCATATCAGCACTGGAATTTCCTTTTAGTTTCTTTTTGTGTTTTGTATATCTTTGTAAATATTTTATTTTATCCATATCTAATTTTTTTTACTTCTTTAATGTTCAGAGCATGATACAGACAATTGATTTAAAGTCCTTGTCTAGTAAGTCCACCATCTGATCTTCCATAGGAGCACTTTCTGCTTTTTTTTTTTTTTTTCACTTGGAACGGGTCATGTTGTCCGGTTTCTTTGTACACTTTGTGTTTTGTTATTTTTGAAAATGTGTCATCTCAATCTTATGATGTGGTAACTCTGAAAATCAGATTCTCCCATCAACATGTTTGCTGTTTGTATTAATTTCCATATTGTTCTAGGCTGTGTGCCAGAAATCATCCTTAGGTATACACATCAGCTCTCCACATGTCATTTTGAGCCTACACTTTTTCCTGAACATGTGTGTACTTTCTACATCCCCATTTCTTCCAGCCCCTCCCCCCAATCCCCACCTCAGTGCTGTTTGTTGAGAATCTGAGAGCAGAGTGGCAGTACCTCTTTGTGGTCACAGGGCTGAGGACAGAAGACCTGAGCCCCTTTATTCCTGCTCACTCATTACCTCCCCAGTGTGTCCCTGACCTATGACACTAGCACAGGGCCCTACATAAAGGGGTGATGCATGTCTGGTCAGGTTTGGCTTGTGAAGTGTTTCCCAAAAATCTACACTGATATTGATGTTTCCTCCCCACTGAGTGCCCAGGGACTCTGGCTTTAGGGAACAGAGAGGTCTCCAAGCCAGAACTGTTGATTCCCAGATCTGTAGCCAGCCCCACAAATATGCCAGATGTTCCAATAAACACACTGCCACTTTCCACGGAGATGACTTTGGAGACAAGTTCCTGTCACTCGTTCCTACTACTGTCTCTAAAGCTAGAGGCTGGGATACTGGCTCTTTCCTCAGTTATGTTAAATGATGTCAATGCCAATCTTCAGTCCTGACCACCTCAGGTCCCACTGTCTGCTACCCTTAACAGTTAGATAGGAGCTCTGCTACTCAACCTCAAATTTCATTTCTAGCCTGATGGCTGATCTGGGGATTTAACGGTGGCTCACCACGCGCTCCAAAGGGCCTTAAGCCCTGCAGTTGAGTCAATGATCTACAACATAACTAAAGCCCCTTCCCAAGCCCAAGACATCTCAGAGGCATCTCGTGGTTAGGTGCTATCTGTTGATACTGCCCATGTGTTTGGAATATGAGTGCAGGAGGTACTCTTCATATTTCTGGTTCCTTTTTCAGGCAACCAAGACCAATACATACATACTAAACTCACATAGGAACTCGTGCAGATGCACACGCACTTCATAAAGAACTCCCCATATGAAATGCCTATAAACGTTCCTCTTACCAGCTCCAAGCCCAACTCTGAGGAATTCTGATCACAGCATTCATTCATTCATTCATTCCTCTAGGTATAGTCCATGAATGCCTCTGGGCCAATCTCTGTGTTAGGCCTGGTAATCATTTAATGCCAGAGTCACAGCACATATTGTCCTAATGTTTCCCATATCACCGGAAAGACAGACAATAAATAAAATGTAATATTAGTAGTACATTATACATTGCTGTTACCTATTGCTAGATAACAAAAATCTCCACAACCACTAGCAGTAGCTCTTCTGCTCTGTGTGACATGGGTTGGGGCTACAGTCATCTAGAGATATGAATGGTCTAGAATATTCTGGAATATGTTGCCTCTCACTGGGGATTGGACTGAGGCTGTTAAATGCTGCTTGCTGCCATTATGGCCCGTTGGTGCCATCTGGTGTTAATCTAGATCTTGAAAGCTAACAAGCTCAGGGAGGAAAAAGAAACCAATAGAAGGCCATCTGGTGCCAAATATTGCTTTGTGTGCTCTCAGGACTTCTTCAGTTGTCCAAACTCAGCTTTGCCTTTTTCTGAAGGAGGATAACACCTTCACTATTTTCTCTCTCTCACTTCTTTTCTCAGCCTCTACTGGTCTTCCCCTGCCCCACATGATCCCTCAGCATCGACACCTGGGCCTGCTTCCACTGACCACAGGACAGGAGCAGGAAAGGGCCCTGGGACCAAGAACACCACTCTGGAGCAGCAACTCAAAGCCTTCCCTCCTCTCAAGCCCCAACACTTCCACCCAAGGAGCACAGGGCATCCCTGAAGGACAAGTCCTATTACCTCTTCCTTGAGGCCAGGCAGTGTTCCCAAACACAGCACCTTCTCTCCCTGGATGTCTTGATCTCCACTTGCATAACCACTTGTGCACCAGGGCTGTTGTCTGCTTGTTGGCCATGCTCAACCACAGGCACAGACCCCACTGGCAGCTCAGTCTCCTCCCTCCCCTCCCCTCCCCTGAGCCAGTAGCTCCTAACTGGAAGGCACATCAGAAAGCTCAGATGACTGGCAGGCATTCTAGAAAAAGAGGCTGCAGTGGGGTCTGTACATGACCTGACACAGGAAAATCCCATGCTCACAGCCCTCCACCCTCATCCCTGGCCCAGCTTTCAGGTGCACGAGGACTTCCTTGCTCCTTCTTGGTCCACTCGCATCTGGAATCACAGGTCCTCCCCAAATGCTCCTGGCTGAGGCTGCCAGAGCCTTCCTGCCCCTTTCCTAGCAGGGACTCCACAGGCAATTCAGGCAGTGCCTCTTACAACCTTTTTGTAAGTGAGGTGTAGGAGATTCTTGAGACCCCCATCTCTGAGGCTATCTATCCACCCTCTGCATCCTGAAACTGCCACTGTCATCCCCTCTCCTCTATCTCTTACCTGGAAATGCCCCTGGACCAACCTTGCTGAGCCTGAGGGTAGAAAGAAGTAGGGACCAGCTCAGAGCAGGGTTCCTCAGCCCCCACTACCCAACCCTCATGCAGAGCAAGGAGAGGTCATGCTCACCACTCAAGGGCCCCAGGGACCTTGGCTTTGTGTAGTGCTAAGGGTGTATATGCACATGTGGCTCCCACTCTCTCAGCACTCTGACTTCAGCTCCTGTTACAGAGGCTTGTTTTTCCCTCCATATTGTGCAGAGGGAGACATGAGGGACCCCCATAGCCCCGAGAGCCTCTCCCATCCCACCCACTGCCCAGATTTCTCACTTGGGCTCCCATAGCTCTTGTTGACTTTTTGTTCTTAGAGAGAGGACTCATGCAAGAATGACATTATGCTGAGTGAAATAAGTCAAGCAGAGAGAGTCAATTATCATATGGTTCACTTATTTGTGGAGCATAACAAATAGCATGGGGGACAAGGGGAGTTAGAGAGGAGAAGGGAGTTGGGGGAAATTGAAAGGGGAGGTGAACCATGAGAGACTATGGACTCTGAAAAACAATCTGAGGGGTTTGAAGGGGCGGGGGGTGGGAGGTTGTGGGAACCAGGTGGTGGGTATTAGAGAGGGCACGGATTGCATGGAGCACTGGGTGTGGTGCAAAAACAATGAATACTGTTATGCTGACAATAAATTTAAAAATAAATTAATTAATTTAAAAAAAAAAAGGAATGACAATAAGGAAACCAGCAACAATAAGAAAAACAGAGGGTTGTTCTTGCACTCTGATGCACCAGGGCCTTTCCTGGAAAAGGGTTTTATATTGACCTGGCTACCCCAGGACCACAGCCCTGCTATCTTCTCTGCACCCTGCCTCCTGTCCTGACCAGGCCCAGAATGTGAGGGCACAGGTTGTTCACTTCAATTCCCTGTGGCTTCCATGTAGCAAGTGAACCTCTGATCCTCTCTCTAAAGAATCCTTATGGCCACACACATCCAGTAGGTCCCGTTCTCACTAGGCAGGACTCCCATAAACTGCTGGGCATACTGGTCAGGGAGATATTCCTGGGAGAGAAACAGAACACCCATCCTGTCAGGCTGGCCTTGACCTCCAAGGTCTGGCTGCAGGTCATGTTCAGGGATGGGAGCACTGGAGAAGAAAGCACAGAGCCAGTGAGGTACAAGGTTAGCCCTGCTCCCCTCTAAGGGAAAGAGAGAGAGAGATCAGGGTTGTTTCTCTCACCTTTCCACCTCTGGCTGAAGCTCTCGTTCTCCAAGTCTGTTGTGCTTCATAGGACCCAGTTCCTTTGGACAGGCATGTTGTTGGACCCAGGATCCAGGCCTCACTCTGTTGGAGCCATGTGTTGATGCTCCGGGTAGGGCATGAAGGGTGGGTTCTTGGGCTGAGGGCACTATAAGGGAACAACTCTTTGTGACAGCGAGGCTAGGGCTTCCTCTCCTGCCTGACGCCTATGTTCCTTGGTTCAGTTTTCTGACCACTGCCTCCGTGGACTGTCCACACTAGGAGGAATCACTATTTCTTCCCCTCCTCCTCCTTACTCTCTTCCTCCTCCTCCTCCTCTTCCTTCTCATTCTCCCTCTTCTTCTTTTTTGTTTTATTTATATTTATTTATTCATTGATTGATTGATGATTTACAGAATAAGAGATTGCATGAGCAGACAGAGGGGAAGAGAGAGAGGGAGAAAGAGAATCCCACAGACTCTGCACTGAGCATGGAGCCCCACACTGGGCTCAATCTCACAACCTTGAGATCATGGGTGAGCTGAAATGAAGAGTTGGATTCAACCAGCTGAGCCTCCCAGGCACCCCTGGGAGGATTCACTTCTGTCTCCACATGATTGGTGTCTCTATTCTTTATTAAGAGGCTTAAGGACAGGTGGATCACAGTACAATGCACCAGCGGAACATATGTGCATTCCATCAGACAAAGAGGGCTTCCTTGGACGGGGTTGTTGGGTGGGAGGCTCAAAGGATCCAACAGAGAAAATCTCTGCCCCAGGGCTGAACCATTTCTGCCAAAGAAACCCGGCACTATTAATGGGCATGTAAACTGGTATAGTCACTGTGGAAAACAGTATAGAGGTTCCTCAGAAAATTAAAAATAGAATTACCATATGATCCAGAATTTCACTACTGGGTATTTACCCTAAGAATATGAAGACATTAATTCAAAAATCTCTGTGCATCCCTAGTTAATTGCAGCATGATTTACAATAGTCCCATTATGAAAATAGCCCACATATCTATCAATAGATGAATGTATTAAGAAGATGTGGTACAATTATTCAATGAAATGTTATTCATCCATAAAAAAAGAATGAAATCTTGCCATTTGCAGCCACATGGATGGATCAAGAGAGTATCATGCAAGCAGAATAGTCAGAGAAAGACAAAGATCGTATGATTTTACTCATATGTGGAATTTAAGAAACAAAACAAGAGAAATAAAAAAATGGAATATAAACACATATAAACACATAGATATACAGTAATAAACATAACTATAGAGAACAAATGGATGGTTACCAGAGGTGCATAGGGGCACGGGGTTTGGGTGAAACAGGAAGAGGAGAGTAAGAGTACACTTACCTTGACAAGCAGTGAGTAATGTATGCGGCTACCCTCCCCCTTCTAATGGTGGCTCCCTCCCCCTTCTGTTTCTCCTCCAATATCTGCCTGCACAATCCCAACTCCATGTTTTGTACCTCTTGACTGATGATCCTCTGCCCCCGTAGAGATCCAGATGCATAATCTTACATTTCAGGCTGATGTCATGGGTGTTCAGAGTGCTCTGATGGCTATCCAGCTCAATTCAGGGGACTGGTTGAAGTAGGGTCCCCTAGCCTCTGCCATCTTGCCCCTACCCTGTTCTGTTTATTTTTGTAACTACACGTTTCACTCTGAGAAAACTCAAAACCCTTCTCACATCCTCAGGCCTACATGATGTGGTCAGTATCTGACCTCATGTCACCTGCTCTCTGCTGCAGCTGCAGTGACCTCCTCACCCCTTCTTGAACACAGGACATGCTCCTGCCCTAGTGCGTGTGCACTGGAGGCTCCCTGCCTGGAAAGAACTTCCCCCAGACCGCTTCTTACACAATTCCTTATTTCATTCAAATCTCTCAGAGGTCACTTTCTCAGGGAGGCACACACTTATCACTGTTGTAAAGTGGCCATCTTCCCTGTCCCCACACAGGTGTCCTCTGGGTCCCCTTCCTCACTGCATTTACCAACCTCTAACACACACACTTCCCTTAGTTACTAGCGCAGTCTGCCCCTCACTACCAGCACATACGACCCACCTGGCGGGCCCATTTGGTCTGTTTCTACTTCACTGAGGTGTCCTAGATGCTACAATAGTGTTCCTGGGCTGACGCTCAGTTATCACTTGGAGAAGTGATCTGCACAGAGAGCCTCTCTCTTCTAGATGAGCCTTAGGCCACAGCTGTTCATGGAAGCTATCACTTTTCTCACCAGTGGTGGTCTCTTCCACATCCCCAGGTCCACCTCCCCACATCATCCCTCCTGCATGTGCAGGAAACAATGAGTCTTCCCTTCAGGAAAGGCGTATCTAGGCTTATGGGTCATGTATTCCAGAGAAATGTGAATTCAAATTAGACACTGTTTCATCACTCTATGAATTAGGAGTGGAGCCAGAACTGGAATTACTAGAAGAGCAGACGGGCATGTGGGTGAGCCAAGAAAATAGAAACTAAATAGGGAAATTTAATAAGGATGAGAAATTATCAGTTGCTGTCTCTAACTCCATAATCTGCTTTTTAAAAAAGATGGGGGAAAGATGGAAAGAATGATCCAGAACAGCCCTAGAAGGAGAAGAGATGGATGGGTCTGAAAAAGTCGCCTTTCAAACCCAGAGATACTCCTGTGTGCAGGGACTCTCTGGGCCTTGTGGGGACAATGAGAGACCAGAGGACACCTGGGGCTGTCCCAGACTGGGAACACCAGAGAACATGAGAGCAGAACTTGTACCCAAGAACAACAACAGGCCTAATTCTCCATAGAAACAAAGAGGGGGACGAGGAGGAGGAGGAGGAGGAGGAGGAAGAGGAAAGACAGGCAAAACTTGGGGGATGAGTCCTGATCCAGGCCTAAGCCTTGGCAACCCTGTTCACAGGAAGCGCTTGCTGCCCAAGGTCCTGGAGACAAGAGAGATTGAGTCCTTGTGATCCCAGGACCTGGTGGGACAAGTTTACACTGATGGGATGAGGGACAAAGGAGCACCAAGGATGACCAGCAGAGCTGTGGCCATGTCAAAGCTGAGGAGACACTGAGCACGGGCTGGGCACAGTCCCCTCCATGCTGGCTCTTCACACACTCTTGCCTCCCCACACCCAGAGGAAGCCCAACTAACTTGTGGAACCTGGAAGGCCCTCAGTGCTTCTGTTTATTTCCTCTCTCAAACTTCAGGAAACCTTTTTTTAGCTTTTTATTTTTATCTTCTAATTTTTTCCAACACTTTAAAATGTAAATTCAATTAATTAACATTCAATGTTTTATTGGTTTCAGAGTACAGGACTGTGGTTCATCAGTCTTATATAACACCCAGTGCTCATTACAAAATATACCCTCCTTAACGACCATCACCCAGTGGCACCATCCCTCTACCCGCATCTCCTCCAGCAACCCTCAGTTTGTTTCCTATGATTAAGAGTCCCTTATGGTTTGTCTCTCTCACTGGCTTCATCTTGTTTTATTTTTTCCTCTCTTCCTCTCTGATTCTCTGTTTCGTTTCTCAAATTCCACATGTGAATGAGATCATATAATTATCTTTCTCTGGTTGACTTATTTTGCTTAGCATAATACCTTCTATTTCCATTTACATCATTGCAAATAGCAAATTCTCATTTTTAAATGGCTGAGTATTATTCCTGCGTGTGTGTGTGTGTGTGTGTGTGTGTGCGCGTGCGCGCGCGTACCATATCTTTATCCATTTATCACTGATGGACATATGGGCTCTTTCCATAGTTTCACTATTGTGGACATTGTTGCTATAAACATTGCTATACACGTGCTCCTTCGGATCACTACATTGGTATCTTTAGGGTAAATACTCAGTGGTACAATTGCTGGGTTGTAGGGTAGCTCTATTTTCAACTCTATGAGTAACATCCATACTGTTTCCCAGAGTGGCTGCAGAAGCTTGCATTCCCACCAACAGTGTAGGAGGGTTCTCCTTTCTCCACATCCTTGCCAACATTTGTTGTCTCCTGACTTATTAATTTTAGTCATTCTGACTTGTGAGAGGTGGTATCTCAATGTGGCTTTGATTTTAATTTCCCTGATGGCTACTGATGATGAACACTTTTCATGTGTCTGTCAGACATTGGTATGTCTTCCTCAGAGAAGTGTCTGCTCATGTCTTCTGCCCATTTTTTGGACTTGATTATCTGTTTTATTGGGTGTTGAGTTTGAGAAGTTCTTTATAGATCTTTGATATCAACCCTTTGTAGTGCCATTGGCAAAAATCTTCTCCCATTTGTGGGTTGCCTCTTTGCTTTTTATCTTGACAAAGTCCCAAAAGTTCATTTTCACTTTTGTTTCCCTTGCCTTTGGAGACGTTTCTTAAAAGTTGCTGTGGCCGATGTTGAAGAGGTTGCTGCCTATGTTCTCCTCTAGAATTTTGAGGATTCCTGTCTCACATTGAGGTTTTTCATCCATTTCGAGTTTATCTTTGTGTATGGTGTAAGAGAATGGTCCAGTTTCATTCTTCTGTATAGAGCGGTCCAATTTTCCCAGCACCATTTATTGAAGAGACTGTCTTTTTTCCATTGGATATTTTTTTCCTGCCTTGCTGAAGATTAGTTGACCATAAAGCTGAGAGTCCATATATAGGCTCTCTATTCTGTCCCATTGGTCTATGTGTCTGTTTTTGTGCCAGTACCATGCTGTCTTGGTGATCACAGCTTTGTAATATAGCTTGAAAACAGGCAACGTGATGCTCCCAGCTTTGTTTTTATTTTTCAACATTTTTTTGGTGACTGGTTCCATACAAATTTTAGGATTGTTTGTTCCAGCACTTTGAAAAATGCCATTGGTATTTTGATAGGGATGGCATTGAAAGTATAGATTGCTCTGGGCAGCTTAGTCATTTTAACAATACTTATTCTTCCAATCCATGAGCATGGAATGTTTTCCCATCTTTTAGTGTCTTCTTCGATTTCTTTCATGGGTGTTTTGTAGTTCCTAGAATATAGATCCTTTACCTCCTTGGTATTCCAAGATATCTTATGGTTTTTGGTACTATTGTAAATGGAATCGATTCTCTAATCTCTCTTTCTACACTTTCATTGTTAGTGTTTAAGAAAGCAACTGGTGTCTGTGCATTGATTTTGTACTCGGCTACATTACTGAATTGCTGTATGTGTTCTAGTAATTTGAAGGTAGAGACTTCTGGGTTTTCTACATAGTGTACATGTCATTTGCAAAGACAGAGAGTTTGACTTCTTCTTTTCCAATTTGAGTATCTGTTAGTTCTTTTTGTGGTCTGATTGCTGTTGCTAGGACTTCTGGTACTATGTTGAACAACAGTGGAGAGTGGGCATCCTTGTCATGTTCCTGATCTCCATGGGAAGGCTGTCAGCTTTCCCCTATTGAGAACGATATTCACTGTGGGTTCTTCATAGGTGGATTTTATGAACTTGAGGAATGTTCCCTCTATCCCTATACTCTGAAGAGTTTGAATCCGGAAAGGATGCTGTATTTTGTCAAATGCTTTATGTGCATCAATTGAGAGGACCATATGGTTCTTTTCTCTTCTTTTATTTATGTGTTCTATTGCATTGATTGATTAGGAATGTTGGACCACTCTTAAATCCCAGGGATAAATCCCATCTGGTGGTGATGGCTAATCCTTTTAATGTACTGTTGGATTGTATTAGCCAGGATCTTGTTGAGAATTTTGACATCCAATTCATCAAGGATATTGGCCTGAAATTCTCCTTTTTGATGGGGTTGTTGCCTGGTTTGGGGCTCAAGGAAAAGCTGGCCTCATAGAAAGAGTCTGAAAGTTTTCTGTCTGTTTCTATTTTTGGAACAGTTTCAGAAGAATAGGTATTATTTCTTCTTTGAATGTTTGGTAGAATTTCCCAGAGAATCCATCAGGCCCCAGACTCTTGTTTTTTGGGAGGTTTTTGATCACTGCTTCAATCTCTGGATTCCACTAGGTGACGCTGTTTTGGTCCCTGAGGCTTTCAGCTCTGATCAGTGGGGTGAATATGGCTGCACCTTGCTCTCTAGCCCTGGATCTGAAAATTCACATTGCCCACTCTTTAGTGAGCTGCACAGAAAAGCAATCAATCAGTCTGGCCCCCTGGTTTCCCTATGAACTCTGTGTTCACCCAGCCTGTGACCACGCGTTCTTACGTCAGGAACATGACTGAGTCTCAAAACTCCAAACTTGATAGACTCCTGCAGCAGGGACCAGCGCAGTTCCACCCAAGGGAGGTGGGGGTCTTCCTGGGATTCTGCTGCTTACTGGGCCCCTGCTCAGAGAGCGGTTCACTGAATTGTGCAGCGGTTCCCGCTTTATGGCAACACGGAGCAGAAAGCCAGCACCCAGACTCACAGCATGCAGCCGGCTTCCCTGCTCCGATGCCTGGGATCTTTGTGCACTCAGGCACCCCTGTTCTTTCAGTGACCCTGGGGATCCTGAGACCGTGCTGTCCCACCTCGGATTCCACCCCACTCCGACACCTGAGTACCTTTAAGCCAGAGACCTCCTGCACTGGAGCAGATTTCTAAAAGTCCCGATTTTGTGCTCTGCTGTTTATAATACTTGGCAGCTGCCTCCTGAAGCAAGTCACTTTCCTACTTGTAGCCTTGCGGCATTTCTTTCTTCACAGCTCCCATTGATTCCTATGTGTTCAGAACAGTTTGATAACTATCTAGCTGATTCCAGGGACCAGATGAACTTCGGGACCCCTACTCCTCTATCATCTTAACTCCTCCCTAAATTCCTGAATTTTCTGACCCTTCTCTTCAGATGCCCCGAAGACACATGTCACCTACCATCCCGCCTCTGACCATGAGGTCGTGTTGAGGTGTTGGACCCTGGGCTTCTACCCTGTGGAGATCACCCTGACCTGGCAGCGTGATGAGGAGGACCTGAAGCAGGACACAGAGCTTGTGGAGACCAGGCCTGCAGGAGATGGAAACTTTCAGAAGTTGTGGCTGTGGTGGAGCCTTCTGGACAGAAGCAGAGATACACATGCCATGCGCAGCATGAGGGGCTGCCAGAGCACATTACCTTCAGATGTGGTAAGGAGGGACACCTGGGCACAGAGTCTCCTGTCAGGAACATCGGGAGCTATTTTGGAGATCTTCAGTAGGGTCTGGGCTAAGACCTGGGGGTCAAGGCTCTCACCTTATCCTCTCTTCCCAGAGTCCCCTCCCCAGCCCCCCATTCCCATCATGGGCTTTGTGGCTGGCCTGATTCTTGTTGTGGTCCCTGGTACTGTGGTGGTTGGAGCTGTCATGTGGAGGAAGGAGAGCTCAGGTAGGGAAGGGAGGTGCTCTGAGTTTTCTTGTCCTTCTGCAGTGTCTTAAGCTCAGGTAGAAGTCTGTCCTGCCTTGTTTTTGGGCAGTGTCATCTGCACACATGTGCCTGTCCACTGTGGGGCTCATTGCTACATTCACTGTAGTAAAGCACAGGTGTGAGTAAGGGATATATTAATCACCCTGATGGATGTGGTAACGGACCCAGTTCCCAGAAGTCACAGGTCAGAGAGCCAGGTCCTTGCTGAGGACAGACTTCAGGAAGAGGGTTAGTCTCGCCCTGCCGTCTCTTTCCTTCATGATCCTGATCCTGCCCTAGGTCTGTAGTGACCGTTCTGGAAACTTCCCTGTGGTCCAAGCTATCTATTTCAACTAGGATCTCGGGCCCTGCCTCCTGCATGTCATCTCATGGGATGTTTTCTTTCAGCAGGTGGAAAAGGAAGGAGTTACGCTCAGACTGAATGTAAATGTGGTGGGGGTGATCCATTGGACATGTCCCAAATAGTTGGAGTCTGTCAGTCTAGGGAGATTCAGAGTCTGTGGGTCTGGGGAGAGGCCCGTGTGTTCTGAGAAGCACCACAAGCGAGCCTGGTGCTCAGCTGGATCTGGAGCCAGTGAGGTCAGAGAGGTGAGCAGGCCAGGGTGGAAGGGACATTAAAATCTCAGTTACTATGTTTTTTTCCCTCGTAAATTGAGGGAGGACATTTGTTGTCATGAGGTGTGATGTGTGAGATTTACGGCATTGTTTCTTTATGGGGTGTCATCAGGGGGAGGATTAGGGAGCGGTTCACAGCAGGATGACGAGCATCTCTGAACACTTGCTCTCTGCAGCTGTTCCTCTGAGCAAACCCTGGAACCCAGCCCTGCTCGAACTCGGACAGAAGGTAGTGCACACACACGCGTACGCACGTGCATCTTCTGTGGATGTAACGTGTTCCTGGGGATGGTCAGGGAACAGGTTAGGCTGCGCAGCCAGAAGCACACCCGCAGTGGCCGTCTGGCTGCCTCTCACACAGGAACCCCAGCCTCTGCCGCGGGCACAGTGGTCACCACTAGCACTGCTGACTTGGTTGGGTCGGGACATGGGCCACTGCAGCCGCTCGTGGGCCTGGGCGACACACTGCCACTCATGCCCCTTGTCACATGCAATGTGCACAGTGGCAGCCTCTCTCTATCCCCCCGTTGTGAGTCGTGTCCCGCGTATGCTCCCCTGGAGCTGGGTCCCACTGGAAGGATGTGGGGGAAACACGTCTTCCTCATCTATGGAGGGAAGCGGTCTCTTCCAAAGCCTTGACCACGAAATTCTCCTCACATCAGAAGGCTGCTGGGGTACTGGGGGCAAGGGATGGAGAGAGAACAACTAACTGTCATTCTCGGAGCACAGACTGAGGCTGCATCTCAACCTGGTGCTTTTTAGGCGCTCAGGTTTGGCCAAGGGAACAAGTAGGTAACAAATGACAGCTGTCCTCTCATTCCCCTGACACTACATGATCAGACCCAGCTGTCATCCACTGCAGTTTTCGCTCACAAACATGGGCAGTGGTGAGGTGGGCTGGTGGCCTGATAGCTCAGGGCAGATTTGCCCTCTTTTGTTCTTGCAAGGACCACAAGTCCCGGGTCTGCAAGACGTGAGTTCTCTGTGTGCACCGACGTGTCGTGTGACTCTGTCTATTTCCCCGTGTGTGACGATGTTCTGGGGAGAGACTCTCTAGCATCTGTCAGCGTTTACGTGACCGCTGCCCAACTTGAACAACAGTGCCAGGGTCATGGGAACCTGAGAGCTAAAGTCGAGATAGATTAAGTTTGACATTCTCAGTGGTGTGTGGCATCCGTGACTCCATGCTGGGCCCGCTGTCTCATTTCTCAACAGGACCCTGAGCAGCTGGTCACAGGCAGATGGACATGATAGACAGTCCTCCGTTCTGCTTATCCTTTGCTCCCAGACAAGATGAGGCGCAGGTTACTTGCTTGCTCTCTCAATTTCTCTTTGTGGGGTGGAGAGGGTTTCTTTCCCCAACTGACCAGCTCTTTGATTCCCTGTCACCACCTGAGTGTCCTCTGATTCGTTCATTTCACTCTTGACCCTGCCGACCTGGGGTGAGCATGGGACACACAGGCGGGAGGACTCATCCTGCAAGTTGCCCTCAACTCACGGGCAAGTCTCAACTCTCAGGTTCCCAAATGCCTGGCACTGTTGTTCAAGTTGGCTACAAAGTTGGGGGTACCCTGGATGTTCAGTAGTTTGCTAGAAGGACTCCTAGGTCTCAGGAAACTCCATGCTGACTGTTATGGTTTATTATAAGGAAACACACGAGCAGCCAGATGAAGAGACTTGGGACAGTGGGAGCGCGCAGTTTCCGGTGCGGGAGCCTCTGTCCCCCGTGGACTTGGAATGTGCCTATAAGGGCCTACTTAGCCAGAGCAAGCCATTTTGTTGTTTACGCAGTAAACTTAGATTGAACCTGCCCCTTCTCCCAAGAGGAAAGTGCTTAGAAACAGAATTGGTGAAATACGGCCAAATAGCCCCCGATAACGGAGTCCAGATTCAAGGACGTGTCCGGCCAGATGGAAACGTCCAATCAAGGGAAAGAGCACGTATTACCTCCCTACCCGCCAAGGACATGTTCGGCCAGGTGGAGACGTCCAATCAAGTAAAAGCGCAGGTATTACCCGCCAGGGAGCGTGAGCCCCCCATTTTGGGCGCCAGACAAAGGCGCCAATTCTAGCCAAGGTCATAGGCTGAATTAGATGACTATTATGGGATAAAATGTAATTCAATTGGCCACCTGTGTGTGGCCAGGCTCAACCACATGGCCTTTATTCTATAAGAGTTAGTCTGTGAGGCTGGGGGTGGGGGGGGTCGCCTCTTTGCAACAGACGGCCCTGGCCGGTCAGTTTGATTCTTGATGCTTGGCGCGAAATAAAGCTTTGCTTGACCTTCGTGTTGTATCACTCTCGTCCTTTTGTCTATGAACCCTTTCAGTACCCCCCTCGGAGCACGTGGATGCGTTCGCCATTTCAGAAGCTCTGTGAACCCCACTGTAGAGCAGTCTTCGGGGAAGCTTCATGACATAGGCACGCTTGATTCAGTCACTGGCTGTTGGGGACAGAGAGCAGCCTCCAGAGCCTCTCCACAGAGGTTGGGGAGGGAGGCTTATGGCTCCAACTCTAGTCATGGCGTGGTCCTCCTGGTCACCAGCCCCAACCTGAACTGTCTAAGACCCTCGGCCAAGTCATCTCATTAGGGTACCAGTGACAGTCTTATCACCCAGGAGATCCCAAGGGCTGGGGAGCTGGGTGCCAGGAACTGGGGACAAACACCACATATTTTACTTATCCCGCAGCCATGCTGTGGTCTTTGAGCACAGATCCCTTGCAGCAGTGGGACCAGAACTACGGAGATGCTGGCCCAGTACTCGTGTCCCATCCGGTCATTAACAGTCAGCCCATCTTCCTGCTGGAGGACAGTGTCTCCCAGGGCCACTCAGGTCTGCGGGTCCATTCAGTGTTGCCAGGTTCCAGAAGCAGGAATGTTCTCAGAGTACACGGCTTTCTCTCTCAGGGTCTGGGATGACAGAGCTAAGAGACAGTGTCATCTCTTGCTCATACTTCTTCCAGGGCACTAATGTACTATGGATTTCCCTCATGACATAGTGAATGTATCTCCTCCTTTACCCTCAGTTACTATTTCTACTTCTCTGCATTTATACTGCACTTTTTGCCATTGGAAGGGACATTATGTGTGGCTGATGTGCTGGTCTAGACTGTGGCAGCAACATGAGTCTGAGAAGCCCCCTCCCCCCAAGTCCACTCTCGGTCATCGAGGGGAGGGAAACACAGGGACAGAACTGGCGGGTAAGGGACAACCAGGGGATGTAGCTGTGCTCACCGACAGTCCCAACTTTGCTGGATGAGGTGAAGGCACAGCCCTCCCCTTCAGGCCCTTAGGAATTACCACATTGGGGTTTAATGAAGTACATACAGTGTCTTAGGATCCTTCCCGTTTCTGGCACTCACACTTGCATCCCTGTCCTGAGACTGCATCAGGTAAGATGAGAGAATGTTGAGGTGAACCACAGTCATACCGAGGTCCTTTCCCTTCAGAAGGAGTGTAGAGTCACACTGGCACCTGTCCCCTCCCCCTCCTCCTCAGATCCCCCAGGAAAAAGTGTGTGCTTGGGACCATCGTGTAGCCCCACTCACGCTGGGTGGGAGCACACACTGTGAAGGGGTGTAAACCAGCACTTCATGCCTCCATGGCCCCAACACCCCTTTTCCACAATGTTTCTGCTGCCTGTTCCCATTCTCCATGAAGCTGTTACTCTGTCAGCATGTCTGTATTCCCATTGTGTGACATAATGGTTTGTCGTGTGTTTGTGATGTGAAGAACTGTGACTGAGCATTCTTCGCTGGTTCAGTACTTTTTTTTCCACACGTGCACCAAGAGCCGTGTACGAGAATGTTCTCAGCAGTACTGTGTATGATCGCCCCAAATGGGAAACAATATAGATGTGTATGACAGGAAAATACATACATAAGTTGTAGCTTATCCGTACAGTGGGATACCGTGCAGCCCCGAGGAAGACTGGACCATGGCGACACCCTACAGCATGGGGGAATCTCACGGACATGACGCCGAGTGAAAGAAGCCGCACACAGGATTATGACCCTTTGTATGTGAAGTTGAAGACCAGAACTAATTTATAATGTCAGAAGTCGGAGAGTGGTTACCTTTTGTGGTGACATATTGACTGGGAATCTCTGCGACGCTCAGCGTGTTCTGCATCTTGCTCTGCGGGTAGTGCGTGGAGGTGTGCACACATTCCCTGAGCTGTCCTCACAGGACCAGTCCTCTCTGTGCATTTTATTTTTTTTAGACTTTTAATTGAAACATAGCTATGCTCTGTTTTTTGCTTGTTTGTTTTAATAGCACTCTGACCATTTGCATCTACCGCTGAATGAGCAAAGTTCAATCCAGAATATGCATTCCTGTCAAGGCCCTTTTGTTGCCCCTCAGGGTTATCATTATGGCTTTGACTTGCCAGCTATGTTCAAGGCTTTCCTACTGGGGGGTCAGCCTCCTAGCTCTCTGTGGTGTTTGGTTGGCAGCCAGAACAGTTCTGTTTGGTATTTTGTGCCACAGAGGATGCAAGTGGACTGTAGAATTTCAGCCTTTCCCTGCATTGCCACAGCCCCCTCTATCCCCTTATTTCCCTGCCCTAGGTGGCTACCCCAAGAGAGGACACCAGGAAACACACTCATCCATTCCAATCCACTTCCAAACTCAGAATTGTGGTTCTTGTGATGGGCATCATCATGTCCTCCTTTGATACGCCACAAATTCCCATAATGAGCAAGGGCCCAGCCCCCCTGTGGCTATTCCTTTAGTAGACCATGTTTCCATTGTCCTTCTGCCTGACCATGTGGCCTGGCTGTTGGCCATTGGCCATGAATTGGTAATTCCAAAACAAGGGTCTTTCCCATTGTTCCATTTTTTTTCACTGCTATGCATCAACATAAACATTAGAACTACCCTATGAGCAAAAGACAAAATAATCCTGAGCCTGATACAGCCATGGGGTCTTGGGTAATGTTGGAAAAACACTCTAATGGAGAGGACAGTGCCCAGAAGAATTCCATTAAAAAGTGGTAATAGTTAAAAAATACTTTTACACACAACTTAGAAAACAGTAAGACAAAATTAAAGCACATCCTATATAGTCTTCTGTAACCTTGACTTTAAAAACACAGAAATGAAGAGCTTGGTCAGGTGACCTGTGGGCAGTGATCGAACAGTTCTGTAGTAAAGCTGGACTTTTTAAAAAACTAGGATTGGAATCCTAAATACAATGATTTTAATCATCAGTGGCTTCACTTTCAGCTGGACCCCTAGTAAGTTTTTTAATTCCTCGTTTTGCTGCAGGACCTTTCAGTTTTGCAAAACTTTGCTACGTGCCTAATGCTTTGGGTGTCCTTCTTCATAAAGGAAGTCTGCTGTCAACTCATCCCCATTTTTTCTCTTGATCTTTCTTTTTCTTTCTTTCTTTTTTTTTTTTTTTAAGATTTTATTTATTTGATGGGAGCCTGGGTTGCTCAGTGGGTTAAGCCTCTGCCTTTGGCTCAGGTGATGATCTCAGGGTCTTGGGATTGAGCTCCACATCGGGCTCTCTGCTCAGCAGGGAGCCTGCTTCCCCTCCTCCCCCCTGCTGCCTGCGTCTCTGTCTACTTGTGATCTCTGTCTGTCAAATAAATAAATAAAATATTTTTTAAAAATTTTATTTATTTGAGAGAGAGAGAGACCATGCACAAGCAGAGGGGAGGGCAGAGGGAGAGGGAGAAACAGGCTCCCTACCAAACAGGGCTCAAGATGTGGGGCTTGATCCCATGACCCTGGAGCTGAAGGCAGACACTTGCCTGACTGAGCCAGCCAAGCACCCTATCTCGATCTTTTTAATGACATCCATTTGTAGTTGTCTTTCAACAGTTTCTGGCAGAGGGCTCTCACAGCTAGAATACAGTATCCGTTCTCTTTATTGCATGTGTATCCCGGCATTGAATAAATAAAAACTATGGACTTCAAACCGTCTCCTTCATAGGCATGTTTCCACAGGAAGAAATGGTAGCGTGCTGAATCCTTGGCAAGTGTTTCTGTTCTGTCTTTGTTGTATTGGCCAAAATTATAATTTCATCCTTCATATCTATTTCCCAATTGCACATAGTCGAGCTGTTACTTAATGTTCCCAAAGTTTGAAAAGCTTCTCAAGAAATAAGAAATGTTACTCCTTGTAGTGTCTGACACTGCGTGTCTCCACCCATGTCAGTTTGTGCCTCATTAATTTTAATTTGTTGTGATTCTTCCTCAGCTGCAGTCAACGGGGCAGGAGAAGATTGTGACAGAAGATTGTGTTTTTTATATCTGTGTAATGATACATCTTCCTTTACTGTTCCAAACACTTCCTCTGTAATGCGGCCCCCTCCGAACCCCCTTTTCAGAGTTGCACTTGCTCCTGCATACAGCAAATTTTGATGATTACTAGAATGGTCTGGAGATCAGGCAGTGGATATCCAGTCAAATCCCTGGGCATTCTGAGAATCTAACCAGAACGCTATATAGCACGGCTGTCTGTCCTCCAGGAGGAGTAAACAAAGGAATCATAATCCTTACCCCAGGAATGGAAGGCAGACTACAGGATCCAATCACAAGTATCTCATTTTCAGTAGATATTATTAGAAGTCTGTACTTTCCATTTCTCCTCTGGCAAAGGTATCTTTAACATCTTCCACTTTCTTGGAGGCAGGTCTCATGGACGTGGCAGCCGTGGGCTCCCAGGTCTGGTGCCAAGTCTGTGCAGAGACATTTCAGCTTGAGTGGCACGAGTGTCACCCAGGTGCCAGAAGCAGCAGAGACAGCAGTTCCTACCGAGGGTCAGGTGTCCTGTGTCAGAGGAGTCATGACGTCTGTACCTTTAGCTTGAAACTTCTCCAGTGTGTTGTGCAGGGAGACGCTGCTTTGGGAAGTATCCCCGGTGTTCTCCTTTACGTGTCAGTAAAACCCTTCCTTTCCCTATTCTTTGGCTTCATTGAGTCTTTTGCCTTGAACCCCTCAAGAGGTGTGCCCAGTTTTCAGAAACACAACTGCCAACCTGACAGCCTCACTTGGCATTTCCCTTTTTAAATTTAATTTAACTTTATTTATTTATTTGAGAACAAGGGAGCACAAGCAGGGGGAGCGCAGGCAGAAGGAGAGGGAGAAGCAGGTCCCTGCGGAGCAGGGAGCCTGTGCAGGCTCGATCCCAGGACCCTGGGACCATGATCCTGGGGTCATGGCCTGAGCCAAAGGCTGATTATTAACTGACTGAACCGCCCAGGCGCCCCTCCAGCACAATGTGTAATAGAAGCCGTGAGTGAACATTATTTTTGTGTTGCTGATCTTAGGAAAAAACAACCAGTCTTTCACCATTAGGTAAGATGTAAGGGTTTTCATAAATGCCTTTCATCAGATTGAAGAAATTCCCTCTATTAGTAGTTGAGAT